CCTCATGTTGGGGATAACCAGCTTTTGCTCCAGTGCCTTGCGGAAAAGCTGGCTCAAAAACTTGATTTGTTGACCTTTGGCGAGCAGGAAGTTGAATGGGACACCCGTGACTCTTGCCATTTCGGTATAATTTTCAAGGCAGGACAGCTTGTCCATGAGTCTCTGAGGCAAATAGGCATCCTTGAGACAGTACAGGGCTAGTCTTCGTCTTGATTCAGGTGTACCCTCGAAGAGTTCTGTAATCATCGAGTGGTGGACATCTTCCTTTTGCTCGCCAAGGAAATGCGAACATACAGAGTTCAGCGTATAACTTCGGAGCTGATGATCACGCTGAACCAGTTGCAACAAATCAAGCTGAAGTCGACCGTTGGTATTGGTGGCTTTGGTGTCGCGGTTACCCATTTGCTTGCTCGAGAAGTTGGTCTCCTTTGCCACGGACTTGACATTGGTGCGAGACCAGTAGTCGAATCCGTGGACCTTCAAATGCTTTGCGCGATCGAGGAGATAGGGGAAATCAAAGTTGCAGATATTGTAGCCGATGATGATATCGGGGTCAACCTTTTCGAGAAAGTCGCGCCATGCAGAAAGCATCTTCCTTTCGTCATCAAATGCCAGAATCTGAGTGGCAACAATAGGGCTTGTCGCATCCAGGCAGAAAACATTGCGGACAAATGGCTTCTTCTCTCCGTACTTGGTGACGATATTGGCAATTTGGATGACGGAATCTTGGTTGGCCTCTGGGAAGATACCTTTGCGACCGGCGCATTCGATATCAAAAGACAGAATTCTCAAGGGTGCCATCTTTGACCACTCGCCTGTGGGTCTGTGGGCAATCAAGTCCCTGTAGCTGATCTCAGCTTCGATTTGGCAGTTGGAGTGCTTGTCGGCCATGAGTGTGTATTTCCCCGCTGGCGCTTCAACCCACGACATGCCCGAGATTGAGTTATCAACCATGAATCGGAGCATGTACTGGATGTTGTCGTAAGTCATGATACCAGTCCCGTCGTTCTTCCACATTCCCTTCCAGTTTGCGTCGCCCCTCTCAATCATGGTCCGAACCTTGGGGATGTGTTTTGGATCGGTAACCGAGATCTTGATATACGGGTTCTGGGTGTTTCCTTGGAAGCCGTAAATGTTCTCGCGCATAGTCAAAACGACCGAGTGAATGATTTGTTGGTGCTGGGCCAACTGCTTCTCCAGATATGTGCGGAAATTGGGGCAGTCTTCGGCCGTGAAGGCCACCGGGGCGGCAACGTAGAGATAGTGCTTGAAGTCCCTGACATGCAGCAGGACCGAGTTGCCGTTCTCGGTCGCGCCGAACATCTTGATGGCCGCCTGGCCATCAGCAACGGTTCCCTCTTCCGTCTCAATTGCTTGAAAGATCAGGTTATCTTTTGCAGGGTTGAAGTCGCTGGGCAGTGGTGGCCGATCCCATGATTGGTCCTTTTCTGTGTTGTTCTCCTTGAGGTCCGAGATGTCCTGGCTCATGCGCTCGAGCACCTCGCTCTCAAAGGCGCTCTTTGGCTGGCTCGATGGGAGTCTGCCCTTGGTGTCGTTCTGGGAGCTTTTGAACCGTGCGGCAGGAGAGGATGTGGGCTCGTCAAGGCGTCTCTTTTTGGCGGTGGGATCGGGTGTCGCGACAATGTTGCGACGGGTGCTCGATGCCTCGCCGAACACCCGCTTCTGCGGGAGAGTCGCAGAAGGCATTCTGGAGAATTTCGATGGTGGTGCTAACGAATTATGTCAAGTTCTTTCCCTTTCGGTTCATAAAAGTACAGTACAATCCCGGAAATTTGTCGATTGCCCAACTGTATAGTTAAAGGTACTCCCAGGAGATCTGCTTTCAAGCTTGCTGAGAAAATGGCAGATGCCGGGTAAGGAAGGCAAAGTCGAGGACGAAATTCATTGACCAAAAGAATCAAAGTTGACGCGCCCCCCTACCTTGTTAACGTGACGTGCCCCACTTAAGTCGACGCGCTTGCTTGGGTTTAATTGACCATGCAGTCGCGGTGCCGCTTGTAGCGTCCCGCGTTCGCCGAACAGAGCTCTTCAACCGCAAGCTTTTAATGATTTCCAATTCGGATAACCGTAACCAAACAGCAAGCAGCTCTACAGCAAGTTTGCAGGTTGATAGATACAGAGAATCAATTGCAAGTCAATATCTGTTTGGCGGGTCAACATAATTCTGGAGTTTGTCCCATTTAGTGCACACGTGATTTCGTGTTCTTGATCTTTCCTTACAGGTATTTATTGTCACGCGGTGGTGAATTACCCCACCATGCATCCCACTCACTGTATTAACGGTGCTTCATCGACTGGTCAACAACCAACCCCACTGAGAGTTGAGTGCACAACACTATTTATTGATCGTGCTTGGACATATCAGGCGAGAATCACCAGCTTCATACACCATGACCGACCGCCACCCATCTTCATCTCGAGCCATGGCACCAAACATATCCAGAGCCAGAGGAGGTGGGGCAGGAGGGAGAGAACGAGAGAGGCTGGAAAGAGAAATGCCCACCGCATCATCGGCAGCCAGCAGCGTTAGACGCAACCTTTTCCAGAGCCAGCTAACCCGCCGACCAACAGCCGGCTCAGCAACTTCGGACGAGACTGTCCGGCTTGATTCATATTCGCAACATTCCCAGCATTCCCAACAGCACCACCCACAACGTCTCTCCCCGGATCTACCTTCACCATCAGCAGCGGACATTGTGGTCCGCGACAAGAACGGCGAGATTGAGCTTGGAGATCCTCCTACCCCGCCCATCGACGATCCGGACGAGCTCGAGGCGCTCAGCGAGCAGCACGAAACAGAGCGAGAGAGGCAGCGGCTGGCTGACGCAGTCAAGCAGCACCAGATTGACCAAAACAGTATTCCAATGCATCGTGAAGGCAAGGATTTTATTTCACCCCTCAGACTCCCTCCCCTGCGCCCCGAAACGGGGTGTCACGTCACTAACAGCAAGAGATACTTTGCTTCCACAACAGAGCTTCTGGAAGCAGTCAGGGCAAGTCTGAAATCCAAAGTCGCGGCGCTGGCAGAAGACAATTGGATGTATGAGCGAGAGGAGATGCCGCGCCACCAGTTGTAAACGCAAAGCGAGAGAGATAATTTTTTGTTATAACCAAGGGGGTGCAAATATTTGTGCCTGTGTATAAACCCCGTTTGCTCACTTGCAACATTATTATATGCAATAGCATCAATCAAGCCCTGCTAGATCTTGTTCTATGGGATTTTTTTTTTTTGGGAGATTTCCTGTTTCTTTTCACGCTTCCTCAGTTTCTTTACTTCTCAGTCCAATCCCTCCGCCGTCGGCGCTTCTACCCTCTTCGCTGCAGGCTTTGAACCACCAAACCCAGCACCGCCACCAAACAGGCTTCCCATCATATCCATCAGCGGATTACTCTGCCTCGGCCTCTGGATCCCAAAGTACATTTCAGCAATCAACTCCAGCGGCCCATCCCACGCGCCATTCAGCTCGCTGATGTTGGGCATGTACTTGGCCTTCAACTGCCTGAACAGATCCGGACTCCCCTTCTGCACAGCCAGCAGCAACAACCCCAAAAAGTTCAGCAGCGGCAAGCTGGGAAAGATGCGCACGTCCGACTCCTTGGAGCTCACATCCTGCACGCTCACCGAAGTCTTGGTCTCCCCCGTCGTCAACGAGCTTACGAACGAGTGGTAGGCAGCGTTCGCTCCGCGAACATTGGCAGCAAGAAGATACGGCAGGACGGCGCGAGCGCAGTAAAGGGGTGCGGTGTGTGCTTCGTCAACTTTGTACCACTCGAACTCGAGACGGCTGAGCACCTCGGGAGACTCCTTGGTTCCGAGAGTGAGGTGGCGCTCCGCTTCGTCCGTGTCGTGCTCGTCGGCGTACAGGCTGCCGATCACATGGTGCAGCTCTGGGTCACCGGCTGGGTATTCGCCAAACTTCTTGGACCACCTAAATAAAAATAAAAACAAAAATTGGGTGTTACCATCTCCAAAATATCCTCTTGAAAATTTTGAAAATTTTTTAAAAAAAAAAAAAAAAAAAAAAGAGGAACGTACTCAATAACCTCTTTGATAAACTTTTTCCTCGTGGGCTCCTCAGAGTCAAACAGCCGCAAGCAGCTCAGCAGTTTTCCCTTGCTCGTCGAGTCGGGTTTCGTTTCGCTCTGCTTGTACACGTCCACCAGGAGGATGGCCAAGTCGCCGCCGCTGCCGCCCTGCCCGGCTTTGAGGAGCGCTTGGGAGACCTGGGAGAGGATATCGATTGCCGCCTCGTAGTTTTGCTGCTTGGTGTAGCGCGCCGCGACCAAGCGGGTCTCTTGCTGCGCTTCGTACTGCTCGCCTGGTTGACCCTCTGCGATGCGCTTTTGCAGGCGGGCGATTATTTTTTCGATCTTTGTTGGTTTCGCCGAGGACATTGTTGCGAATTACTGCGGCTGGGCGGGTTGGGAGAGGTGAGGGATGATAGCGAGGGGGGACGGAAGGGAAGTCGAGATGGGGGGAACCGAATGGGAAAAAGTTCACAAGCTTCAGAGCGAATTCGTTGTGTTGTGTTTCTATTGGACGAGTAAAACGGTATCAAGTCTCGGGATGTCAGTCTGGTTTGTATATTTACAATGTCAAAGCTCCTATGGGTTGTAAGGTTATCTTGGGAGTAAGTGGACGGGTACGTAATGTTTCAAAAGCTCCCTGAGGAGGTGGGGTTCATTTTTACAGCGTGGGCTAATTATGGAGGGGTTCGAGAAGGGACGAGAGGACGGGATGTGGTCCGTGCATCCTAGCTTTCTGTTCAACTTGCTCAAATCCTTGAAAAGAAGAAAGTTTGCTTATAGGGGGAAAATAAAATGCTAACTTGTGGGTCTTTTGTGTTTAATAGGATAAAAAGCTTTAAAAACATGAAAAAAACATAAAGCTTCAAGTGGAAAAAAAAAAAAAAAAAAAATGAACCAACGGGGCTGCCCAAGAGAGACTCGATGGAAAAATCTTAAAGGGAAAAAATGAATGCGCCGTTCAAGAATCGAACTCGAATCCTACGCAGTAATCCATTGAAGAATGGGAAGCGTAGATGCTAACCATTACACCAACGGCGCTTTCTTTCCTTTTTGTTGAAGAACGCTTGTGTAATTTCCCTTGAAGCCGGTACGCTCCCCGCTGGCATGCCCCCTTTACTGTCACGTTTGTGTAACCTTCTAGGTTATTAGTGTTCCATTGGAACTGTCAAACTGCTGCCAGAGCCGATAGTGCCTGGGTGGTAGTGTGCTATGTAACCTCTCGCTCGGTTGCAAATTTCTGTTGGCCATTAAAACCTGAAATGACGACCTGACTTACCTGCAAGACTGATGGGTCAATTGACCAACCAACATATGATGTTATCTCTCGTCTGCTGGACACTGGTCACGGATAGATGGTAGTGTGTATCCATCCAGCAACACTCCCAGCCGAGAGAACTATGAGGACGGTGTCAAGGATGAAAGGGGGGGGGACACAGGAGAGAGGACAGGACGAGCAGGACGAGGACGAAATGAGGGATATAAAAGGCAAGGTAATGTGTACAAGAAGAGGAGGTTTATAATCCAGGCATAAATTCCTCTTATCTCTGTAAGTGACCGTGATCAGAATCAACCCTTTCATTTCCACCCCAATGTAACCAAGGTGCCGTTCTCTAACTTCCTTGCCAGTCCCTACGAAGGGATACCGTCAATTCTCCCGTTTTCCCCCCTCCACAGACCGGTTTCTTCCACGTTCCTGGCTTTCGTGATGCCATAACATAATCTGGCACTTCGGCGAAGGGGCCCGCCATCAAATGTCACCGAATGTCCTGATGTAGATCCGAGATTAAATCTGTATATTAAAGTCTAAGACCAGATGCCGAGTTGGAGGCGGTAGGTATGCAGAAAAAAGGTTAGGAGGCGAGCTAATGGGTTGAATAGCAGGATGTAAATAGAGGAAACGGGGATCAGATCTATCTAGATGGTAATTGGAAGAAACCCAAAATGATCTTGTGTGTATAAGCCACTGAGATACACATTAGCAAATATGTACGACAGTAATTAAGTTCAGAATTCACGTCACTTTTTACCATCTCATTTTTGTGTATCCCCGCAACGCTTTAAGTCAGTCATTTTTTCCGCCACATTCCATCTATGTAAGAAAGGTGATAGAAATCCGAACGCCAATAGCACCCAATAACCTTGGTTCTACTTATGCTGGGTACCTCTATGTTTATTACAACGAGCAGTTAGACATTTCCATCACTAAAACTCTTCTTCTCCCAACGACCCCATTCCTTCCCCGTCAAAGTATACCCCCTTCCGCTTTGTCCTGGTATATGCACCATCACTAGCCTTTGCCTTCTTTCCCGTTTCTTTAAGAATTCAAGAGTGAACGACGCTGTATGTTCAACGGGTAAGCCAAAACCAAAACACCAGCCGATGGGTATATCCGCCACTGTGCGCAGAAAATAAGCAAAATAAAATAAAAGAGAAAACAGGTAGAGACAAGAAAACTCCCACATCCCCAACATAGCATCTCATCTCTCGGCCTCTTCCCTTCTCCTCACGCCTCCTGTGCAAATTCTCCTGCAGCAAACTTCTCAAGTCGCTGCCGATAGACGTTTATCATTAGCTCCTTGTTCCGCCTCGCTCTCACCTCTGGCGTCAATTCGTCATCCGACGAATCCCTCCCCACGTCTTGCTTCTGTTCCTGAACCCCATTTGGTTTATAGTCTCGAAAGAATGCTGCGCCTACTTCAAGCGGTTCTAACAGCTCGTTTTGCCGGTGTAACGGCGGGCCATTCTTCACAACGTCCACCACGGCTGCGATTGACGTTCCCGGAGCGCTCGAGCTTAGCAGCATCATCTTAACCGCCTCCCTAGCATTCCGCAACCCTTCCTGATGCTCCTTTGCCCATTGCTGCTGGTCGATCACCGCCTCTTCCTTCTCATCTCCTCCTCCATCTTGCGCCGTGACAATCATTTTCTTCAAAATATTAGAAGGGCTCTCAAAAGCTTTCTCCTTGTTCAGACCATTCCTCGGACCAGGGACCTGATCAACAGCCTTCTAAGTAGCTCCAGACCCCTGGGTGGTATTAGTGGTAGCATTGGTTGCCTGAGGAATCAACAGCGGCGTGCTGGTAGCGACCTGCTGCATCTCCTGGAAATTTGGCGGTGAATCGAAAGTTACGTAACCACCCGAGTCCGCATCAGTCATTTCGTAATCACCGTCGAGCGAGCCGGCCGACGCCTTGTTGGTGGCCAGAGAGTCCATGCTGCTGGATTTTTGCAGCTTCTTTGACTGTGAGCCTTCGCTGGGTGGTTCTGCGCTCCGTTTCTTTGCAAGCTCCTGTTGGAAGAGGCGGTTATCTCTCTTGACGAAGTTCTTCTGGGCCTCATTCAAAGGCAGAGGGTCCTCGTTCAGGGCCTCGTCTGTTGCATACACCAACAGAGGGCTGCTCTTCTTCCCGCATGCAGTTTCTGTCACAGTTTTGAAGGTCACAAACTGTAAGGAATATGTCAATACTCAGCTTTCTTGAGTGATAACAAAGCTGCACGTACCTCCTGGCTCACGATGCCCCCGTTGTAGGTGATCTTTTTCCACTGCATCTCAGGAGAGGTCGAATCGTCACCTCCTGCGTCGGCTCGAATGAACACCTCATTTTCCGTGTTAACAACACCACACAACGTGTACTTGTGGGTAGGGTTCCAGCGCTCATCGTCCCCTGGAACTGTCAAATACGAAAACAGCTTCTTTGCCACTTCATCCAAAGCTTTTTTGCCCGGCGTCACAGATTCTGAACATACAAGACAGCGTTAGCGAATGTGAAATTGCGAATTGGCAAGACGAACACAGCGGCACTTACTCTGCATAAGTTGGTCCATGGCCTCCAGGTGCGCCTTGACCTTTTTAATTTTGGTCTCGAGATGGGCAATAGCCTCGATCTCGTCGGGAAGCAGCTCGGGCTCGCCTTGCATCTTGTGGTGCTGTGGTTCGATGTGCGTGAGGACTGCGGGCACGTAGTAAAGATCCTGTACGCCAGCAGCTTGAGCTGCCTCGTAGTCGCGCCAGTAAGCGAAGTTTTTTATTCTGTTGCGCTGAGCCTCGAACAGAGCGATTGCTTCTTCAGCCATTACCCGGCGATCAACCGTTTTCTTTGTTTTGGGGTTTTCCCACGTCGTGATCCTATCATTAGTAACGCCCAATTTGGTGGTATTATCAAGTGCGTCGAGCATGTCCGTTTGGATGGTGAATATCTCTTCAGACCGATCTTTGAGGTAGCGGTCCAGGTAGAAGACCTCTGGAATATCAATCTCCTTGCCCATTTCCGCCCCGTATTGAAGGCGACATGTAATGACATCGGCTGGGTAACTGATCCACGCAATCCGGCCATCGCTTGGGGTTTGAACCGTCTGCTTTACGTCCGTATAGAAGATCAAATCCCAGACATTGTAAAGGTTTGACGGCGATGGATATGCGTCCTCGGCAAAAGACAGCTCCAAGATGCCAAACCGGTCCAGCGCCTGCAGCAGTTTTTGCTGGTAATTAATGACTTCAACGTCTGAAATGAAGACACTGGCGACGTCGGGCTTGCTCCTGTTTTCCAGCTCATTCGCAAGCTGGTGAAAGAATTCCTTTTCTGGGTCTGTGCTAGTCAACATGGCCGAGCTGGCCGACGTTTCCCCGGCGAGAGTGTCAATGGTGCCATAACTCCGATCAGAATCATCGAGAAAGGCAATTAGACGGCAGACCTCATCCTCCCAGTTGGGGACAGGCGATTGGCCCCCCTCTGTGGGCTGACCCCCGGCCGGCAAGATGGGGGTACCTTCCCACCAGTCCTTATGATTTCCGTATCCCTCTGGGGGTGCATTTCCAGTTAGAAGCAGTGCATTGCGGGCTCCCGGAATCTTGTGAAAGATCATCATCAAGGCTCCAAGGCGATGACCGGAGCCAGTGGAGCGCGCCGCGGTGGTCCGGAGAAAAACCTCTTGTTTTGGCCTCCGTTTCCTAAAAGACGGATCGGGTTCTCCTTGAGGTTCTTCTATCCGGGTTTGTGTAACCATGCTCCATTGAGAAGGATCATAATCGTCTCGGTTCGCAGGACCGAACTGTACGTTCGATGTGTATGCATTTCCGCCAATGTCTATCCTGGAGTTTGCAAGCGCTCTAGCCAAGTCGGGATCGTTTTCGTCGGCGTCTGTGTATCCTTGTGCCTTTTCGCCAAGCAGCGGAGGCAAAGGCGACCTGTTGTCCGATCGTGATGGTGGGCGGGAAGGGGCAAAGGACTCAGAGCCTGTCACTCCATAGATGATTGGGGTTGGATCGCCCTCACGGGTAGCGCCGAATGCTGTGGGATCCCATTCGGAGACTTGATATCTCTCGATGAAGGTCTGGGATCCAGACGTTAGACGAGCACTGTGGGAATTGCAAGGTACGAGAGAAGAAGCGACTCACATCTTTATTATTTAGATCGAACCACACGCTCGCTATGTTCTCGGCCTGATTACTATTGTACCTCAGTGCGTTTCGAATGATCGACCGGTCTTTGAAGGGGTCTCCTGTCAAGGATTCCCCAATCAACTCTATAAACTTGTCGATTTCGCCCTCGATAACGTTATCTGACATTGTGACGATAGCACGGCGGGGTGGCAGAAGCAGCCCCCTTCTTCTGTCTGTCGTACTGAATGTGTTTCGATTTTCAAAGTTGTCAGCTTGCTGAAGCGGGGACCCTGACAACAAACAAAGTCTATTTAGACATGAAATATTCCGTATTGGTGATTTGTCGATTATCGTCAATAAACGTATTGGGGAATTTATGGTGGAGAGTTCTAGTTGACTGCGCTGTATTGGCGTGGTAAAGCTGGAGAGGCTCGAGCACGGGGATTTTTACTCAAAGAGAGAACAAATGTGGTTCCTGCCGTTTTGGTTGTTTCCCAGTGCGACCGGGAACCTAAACAAAAGTGAATGCGACAGGTAAATCGGTTCTTTCCGCTAATTCCATGATGCACTTGGAGCACTGCATCTTCCAGACTCTAGGAAGCTGGTTGTCTCCTTGGGCTTGGCAACTGCAATGCACGGACCAGGTCTTGTTACCCCG